GTAGGATAGGCACAAATCCTGGTGACTAGTAGTTCCACAGCTTACAAGTGGATGAAAGAAGATTGATCACAGCTCAGGTGAATAAAATATTGAGTGGGAGTGAGGAAATTTTTGGAAGCATTGATGACCATTGCCTCCTTAAGACACTGAAGATAGATGGGATCAGATGGAGGAGAAAAGAAGATTAGATTAGGGAAGAGAACTGGAGAAAATGTCCATGGGTAAGAAGTATAGTAACACCTCTGTGTACAGATATTTGTGACCACAGTTAAACAAACCACAAAAAATGGGTTCCCACAGGATCCGACTCAACTTAGTAGTCACCAACAAATCTGATGCCAGGAAGAAGAGGTAGAAGAGAGTTGAAGATGGGAAACAGGGACTAGGTTGAGATACAGTGGTGTAGGGTTGGGTTTGAGACAGTTTGGAAGAAACGGAGGAAAGCAAGAATTGAGGATGGACAGCTCCTACCTGTGATTCAATCAAATCAGGAATACCCCAAAAACTTCAAGGTAAAGATCTCATAGAAAAGAAGAAAGAAATCGACCATGGAAAAGGTATGTATCCCTACCTAACAATTCCCAGTAAGAAAGAGCCAAGTGAGCAGGAAATGGAAGAACAAATAGAATGAACTATACAGAAGAAAAGGGAATGAGGATCATTTGCAAAATCCTTTGGGGCAAAGAGAAGTGCTTCAGATTTAAGATGTATAGAGAAAAGCTAAAGAATTATGGTACAAAGGATCAAATGAAAACAAGAGTATAGGACACTGGAGGGTGAAACCTCAAGAAATGGAATTCAAAATGGCTGAAATTCTGGAAATAATAATCAGCTAAGCAAAGAGGGTAGGGCATGAGGTTGCAGAAAAGAAGTTGGTTAAGGAAGGAATCAGCTTGAATGCCAATATCAGGAAGAAGTAAAATGAAAAGGGTTACGATTAATAAGTAGGGAATGAAGAAAATCATATGACACAGAGGAAAGAGAAAGAATGTTACACACCTATAAAATTATGACCTGATAATGTGAGAAAGCTTGAGGGCTTTCTTTAACAGGGAGAGAAGTTCCTAAGCATAATCAGCAAGAGAAAACAAGCACTGAAATTCATCCTCCTTATTCTCCCCTCAAAACTATGGGAAGGAACACTTGAAGAAAGGACTGGAGCTGAAAGTTAGGGCTGCATATTACCCTATGCACAATGGCCGTCAAGTCATTCTCAATCAATGCATCTGCATAACCCATAGTTGATACATTACCTGTGTGAGGAGAAATTGTTCACTCACATAAGTAGTAGTACATGTTAAAAGCAGCTTGTGAGTTCATAGTTTGTAGAAATAAGAAGGAAATTAAGTTCCTTAAACTTCTAAGTCTCATTAAGTTGAAAAAGAAAATACATCTGATGTGTTCAGTACCAAAGCAAAGAATGAAGATTCAAAGTGCAAAAGCATAGAAGGAATTACTGTGCAAGGAAGTGTGTTGCCCTCCCATTGGTAGAGGGCTTTTGCTGCATAAAAACATCATTATGCAGTAGCACAATTCAGAAGAAATCTTGTGAGATTAGGTGGGAGTTGTCTAAAAGTTGGTGGCATGCAAATCTCCAAGGCAGATGCACAGGGAAGATAACTTAACTGTGTGAAAAGGTGTGTATCGTTTAAACATATTATAATGGTGCCTGGGATGGATGGGTTATTATATGAGGGGAGATGAAGATCTCTAAAATTATTTTCTCTTGAAAAAAGAAGAGTTAGAGGGTATCTGATTGAGGTATTTAAGATTGTAAGGGAATTGAACATGTTGATGCATCATCTTTTTTCATACTTAACAGCAGGAATAGTAGAACTAGGTAGGAGACAGCTTCAGCTAAGACAGTTTTATTTTTCTAACAGAGCGGTTTGCCTCTAGAATGGGTTGCCTTCCGATGTTGCGGAGGTAGTAAATTTAAATGAGTTTAAGAGAAAGCTTGATAACTATATTAATGATAATAGCTGGCTTTAAGATTTTAATTTTTTATCTATTTGATAGTTTTAGTTTAGAGAATAGGACAGCCGAGATGGACCAATAGTTCCCTTGTTGTCTCTAAACATTATGTTATGATCTAAATGTATCAAAATTTTGCATAGTAAAGGGCTGCTACATACCCTTCCTACAAGCAATCAATCAATCAATATTTGGTGGTATCACAGTACCTATGAATAGAAATGCATGATTAACTTAAATAATCAATTACCAATGAGTATTGATTACACTGATTACTGCCATGTAAAATATCAATAAATCAAAATTATGATTAAATCAATTAATGTCAAAAAAATTATCAACTAATCAAAGTAATCATTTTGGAATATTATTGTTTACAACTATTCTAACTATCCAAGCAACTGAAATATTATGATACCTCATTATTATTTTTGAATAATTCAAGTTCGTTAAGCTTAAACTTATAAGAATGAAGTTGGTTATTTGACCAACCTTGAAACTGTGAAACTATACACACTATAACTCCCAATTTACTTTGACGATCTTCACAAAATTTGACAAGCTTTTAGCAAGCATTAATAGGTTGTTGTACACAAAAACATATTTTATAATAAAGTATCATTAAGTATGGCAGTACTTAATATTAGAGATCATGATAAAACACAATGGCAGCCATAAAAGTTGCCTGTTTAAAACCACTTTAAAATGTCTGAATATTAACAATGACTATTTCACAGTATTGACTGAGCCAAACTAAAGCTTATTGTACTTATGAAGTAGTTCAACAAATTTCAATCTCAAAGTAAGCAAGTGACTTTTACAGACAAGTGTACTAAAAAAGTGATGAGCCTTATCTCTCAAATTCTTTCACAGAGTTCTTCCATCTGGAGTCCTAATAATTCCTTTCTTCTACCAAAAGAGATACTTGTATATATATAAAATAGACGATGTGCTACTTTGGGCATATAATTAGATTTTAGGGTAGGTGAGTAATAAAATCAAATCGGGTATACGCATGCCCAATGCTTGGTATTGCTGGTGCACAAAGATATAGCTAATAAAAATAAAACAAACAAGTATAATAAAAAAGTATTGAAACAAAAAAGTCAAGACTGCAAAAACTAAATTACTTAAAATTTAAAAATGTTATCCCCACTTTGGTTCAGATTAATGTAATTACAGTGATTTGTCAAAGTAGGGATAAAATTTAAAAAATGTTAAGTAACTCAGTATTGTAGTTTTGACTTTCTTGTTTCAATACTTTTTGTAGCATTAAACTTTGTATATTACTATAGCTAGCTAGTATATATATCGATCCCTACTTGCTTTTGTAGAATTTAAATATTTTTTATTATCCTTGTTTCTACTAGATCTGTGAACTTCCAAAGCCTTTACAAAGTCAGTCTGAGTGAAAGGTGGTTGTCAAGCTATGAGTTTGTTTGTTTTAGAGCAAAGCCACAGTGGGCTATCTGCTGTGTCCACTGCAGGGAATGAAACCCCATATTTTAGCATTGTAAGTCCATAAACTTACCACTCTCCCACCAGAGAAACATTAGGCTAAGAATGAAAATACTTTTTTCCTCTTACAGTTTTCATATTTCATTTGCATAACCTCAAGAGCCTCCTAAATGAATAGCAAAAGTTTTTATCAGCAACACTTTATATTTTTATCTATTCTTTTCTCTACCCTAACTCTAACTATACCGAAGTCAATGTACAGTGAAAAGTTAGAAAATATGAAATAATATGAATAATACAATTTGTTCCTCTGAGTATTGATCAGAAAGTTCCAAGTCCCCTATCTTAACAGTTTAACTGTTAATATTTTCACATCTGCTTTCTTTAAATTTTACAGTTTTATTGCTGTACTTTATACCCACTGAAGCAATAATTCTCACTTCAGTAATAATCACAACAAGAGCACATTAATGTTTTCCATACAGGTAACATAAACAGCGGATGATCTGAGTGTCATATTTCACACTTCACTAGAGCTAGTGAAATTTTAAATCATATTTTACTGAAATTTTCTTGGCTAAAATGAGAAGTTTCTAATTTTCACATTATAGTTAATTTTGTTAAAAAATATGTAACTATAAATAAAATTTACATAAAAAATAAGTATTTGTAGTACTCACTGACTACTCAAGCCATTTGCACACAAGTAAAAATATTTTACCTTTTCCCCCTAAGACTCTTTGAGTCTCACTAATTTGGGTGTTCATAAAAAATTCATATAGCTTTCAAAATGGATTTTAGAACATAAAACAGATTAGTCAATACAATGAAATCTCCCAAACTACTATACTTTATCCAGCTTTCTATGTAACCTATAAACAGATTAAAAATCTGTTACTGTTTGGAGTACCAATTATGCTCAACACAGTCTAAGCAATTCTTGTCAACTAAATGCTTACAGGGAAAAGACTAAATACAGAATTATTAGATTTATGTATAGGAGAATTTGATCTTTCTAATTGTTATAAACATGTCCACCAGCCACGTAAAGCTGTTTAACAAACAATTTCAAAAGTCAGAGAAAGATTTTCTGGTGGGTTTGACAAGTTTGTTAATATCGCAGCATATCAAACAGGTAGGAGGTACAAATGTTATATATATATTTTTGTGTGTGTGTTTCTGATTGTTGGCAATGGAAGCAATCCATTTTAGAATTTAGAAAATTCTGAAGTGGAGAAAATGGAGTTCAGACAGGTCACATAATAGAGAAAAACAAAGACTGAGATTTCTTTTTAATATTTCTTTTTGAAATCAAGAAGTTAATACTTATACAAAAATTTAAATTGCAAGCTACATTGATAACGAAGTTTTTAAATTAATTTCTGAATGTACCTCTTTAAAAGATCATAATTTGTGCACTTCAATAAGATCATACAAAAAAGATTTAAACTATGTTAATGTGATAAAAGATAATTGTTCTGCTTTTCTTTAATGTATTTAAGTACAGAAAGTTGTTCCTGCATTCTCTAGATATAATAAAGAAAATAATTTAAAAATTCTTAACTTACCTCTTCAAAGTTTTTATTTCCTGTATCCATCATTGTTCCTCTTAATCCCTGAAATCGACACTTGAAAGCTAAAGGAGGTATGGAAGCCAGTTCATCAGGAAGATCCACAATCTTTTGATTACTAACCACTTCTCTGTTTCCAAAGTCAATATATCTAACAGCACACTAGAGGAAATAAAAGACAGTTTACGGTTTTTAAAAATCGATCTGGCCCAATCTTAAGGAATAGGACACTCTCATTGCTATAACCTGCAAAGTTTTGCTTTTTATTATCAATTTGTTCCAAAGCTTAATGCTTAAAATCAAATAAAAATTATATTTCAAAAATATTACTTAAGGAAATGTACATTAATAAGTCTGAAAATCTTAAGTAATGAATAGTTGTTTACCAAATTTACATTTCATTTTCAGAAAGTATCATTTATAGCAGTTAATAAAAATACAATTTCCTAATGTATGATTTATTAACAGTGTCTCAGGTTTTAAATTTTAAGGGTCCAGACCTTTCAACATTTCATTTACACAACCAGATTTTTTGTTACATGTTGAATAACACCTGATTAAGTGATGCAATGCACCAAACATTTTTCTCCACATAACCATTTTTGACCATGCACATTCAAAATTATTTGTGAAAAATTCACTCTTAATAAATTTACATCTGAATTTGAATTTGCTGGGAAATCAACTCCTATGACACTAAAAAAAATGTTAACTCTTACCCTCAAACATTTCAAATTTGAGTCACAGTTACTTCTACAGACCAGTTTAGAAAATATATGCAAAGTAAATATAAATGTTACTTAACTTGCTTGGATAAAATTATGGGATGGATACATATTACCAACCACTTTGACTTCACAACTTATCAGTGTGTCCCAGGTTATTTTGAAAGTTCTCAAAGTATTACAGTTCCACCTTAACCAGGACTGTTAAGTCCTAAGTACTAATCAATCACAGATTTGCTCAAGTGTTGTAATGAAGCCTAAAAAGTTATATTAATGATAAATAACAACCTATGTAAAAAAAAAACGGTGGTCACTAAAAACGTGATCACCATATATCCATGTAAAGTCAAATTATTCACAGTTTGCTAACAAGTATGATATGAATAGTGTAAAACCATAAAGAAATTGATTCATGATTGTTTGTTTTCCTTACTTGATCAGGCATGTTGTTTTTTATTATCTCACATCGATACCACTGTTGGTCCTCACTAAACTGAGCTCCATAAATCTGCATTAGAGGAATATAAAAAAAACTTCATTCTATGCAATACTTATCTTTAATCATCTACCCATTAAACTGAAGAAAATTCACACATTAATCTCATCATTAGTCTTTTGGCACAAACAGAGACCAAACCTTTCAACAATTCATTTTGACAATCAGGTTTTCATTAAATGTTGAGTAACAAATAAGATAATGAAATAATAGTTCAAAAATATTAAGTTAGAAGATAAGTTTTAAGTAAAACATCAAAAATCTTAGGTAACTGGTTAAGATTAGTTATTTCAAAAGAGAGAAATTAAATAATTAATTTTACCACTACTTATGAAAAGGATGAATAAATTTGTTTAAGACTTCTCTTGTCACAATGTAAAGGTCCTAAACATAGTTGTGTAGTCATACACAATTTAAAACCAAACATAAAATATGTGTTAAACTAAAGTTAGAATTTTAAGAAATAGAAAACCAAAAGTTGTAATATTTGATCTAGCTTTAAAAAAACAGGAACTAATGTATCATAAAATTTTCAAGATTATGAGCTAGAAATAATTTGTTCAGTTGAGTAAAACAGTTACATCTTTTTTTTTTTTTATAATTTATTTGCAAAGGGCAATCTAAATTCTATTAATATTAAGCACTATTTAATATATAGCACATGCACTGGATAAAAAATAATCTAAGAGAGATATGTACTGTGAATCACCACACTTCATAGTTTCTACTTCTTTAATTTTCTTACTTCAAAATATATACAAAAGGAAGTAATTACATTGTGTTTTACATTTTGATTTTTTTTATTTATGTAAAAATCAGTTTTAAAGAGCAAAATAAGAGTTGTATAAATTTGTTCAGATTTTCTATCCCTTATAATAGCTGAACTAAATGTTCAGGGTTATAAGTTATAATATGACTATCCACACTTTGGCCTTTTTATTTTTAAAACTTATACACAGCAATGAGTTTTTGCTATACTTGAATATTATCTAGCAAACGGTTCAGTAGTAAACATTAAGTTTCCAAACATTTAGTAATATTAGCAACATAGGATTCTCTTCTAGTGTGTTTGTATACAAAATATTACAGTATTATTAAACATCAGTATATTTCAATGGGTACTTTTTAATGTGTGATAAAAAATTAATTTCACCTCATTAGCAGTACAGATGTCAAGAATATACAGAAAGTCTTAAAGTAACTCATTTTAAACTTTCTTTTTTGATATTTAAAAGTTAAATGCTTGAATTGACAAATATTTGAACATAAATAAAATATAGGTATAGGGTTTAAAAGGCTTAAAGGAAAACCAAGAGACTTATGTACGCCAAACAACCATTTTCTAACATTAAATCTACACTATCAAGATTTTCATTTTCTCTTAAATACATACCTTAAACATCTGAGGAATACCTTGAACACTCTTGGCCTTTGGACAAACCTGAGAAAGTTGCTTTGCAATTTCTACCAAGTGCTGGTTAGATTCGACTTTTTGTGAAAAGAAAATTGTGGGATCTTCTACATGTACAACTATCAATTCTTCTTCTGAAGTTCCAACAGTCTAACAGTAATAAATAAAACATTTTACATTGTCAAATTAAGAAAAAATAAAATCACATCTTGATTTCTAAAACAGCACTAAAAGATGTTTTTTTAAATGAAAGTGTTTAATATAATTGCCCTCTAAAAAACAAGACCAAATAGTACTGTTAGAAATATATCTTTTAACACTATAACCACCAGGGTTTGACACGTACCTAGAACCTCCATACTGCCATCACTTTGACTGCTACATATCACAATGTCAGTATTAAAATGAAAGACAAATTATTGAATACAAATCAGATCTAATTACAGCTGAAACACTGTATTAAAATGAACAGTTGTGCAAAAAAAAACTTCAATAACTTAAATACCATAATATAATAAACGTATTAAAAGAAACAAGTTAGTAAACACATAAGCAGCTATATGTGCATACAAAACTTTAAATACAAACTAGTAGGTAAATTATTCTAAACAGTATACACTTGTAAAAAACTTAAGAGAATTATGCAATTACTATTATAAACTAGCCTAAGCAGCTCAATCCCCACAGGTGAAACATCTTTCAACTTTCACTGTGCATTTACCACACACAAGTCTTTCACAAAGGGCACATTTATTTGAAGTTCTATGTTTATTGCATTTAGCTACCTGGCATTGCATTCTTTTGTGTGTTTTACTGGATGTGGCACTGAATTCAGGCTGAGATGCTTGATGTTTTGCAATTTTCTCAAACCTTGTTTTTGTCGAAGTGCTGAGGCTAGCTTCAAGATGAAATCTCTCCTACTTATATTTTCTCCAGTGCATTCCTTGTACAAAATAAAGGAACTGATAGCTGCCAGGTCCAGGACATTGTAAAATACAGCAACTGGCCATCAACGAGAACCAGCTTTTCATGAGTATTGACGTGTCATCTGGTCTGCAACATCCACTCCATACTTCATCTAGTTGTAGAAAAGCAGTCTCTGTTTTGCTTTTAAAAGTAGTGTCAATACCAACTGACATGTGAAGAGAGCTGAGAATGCAAACATTCTCCTTTGGCTTGCATTTGTAAACAGCCATGTAGCAAAGTCACTGTGTTTCAAAATTGTACTGGTGTACAGCTCTGGTTGCAAGTTTAGTATAGACGGTGGAAGCTCCCTTCTTGATTTGTTCGCTGTTCCAACTGGGATGAGTTTTTTCCTGCACCTCTTTTGCCAAATCAAGGGAAGTAAAAAACTGTCTGTAGTCACATTCCTCTCTTTTCCTAAGTAGGGTGCCATCAGCCGAGTGCCATTAAAAATGTATTTTGAGGTAATGTCTACTGGCAACCAAAATTTTATTCCAGATTTATCTGGTTTCTTTGCTATGTATTGTGTCCAGTGACACTGTGCTTTTGTGGGAAATTGCTGCTTATCCACAATAATGTTCTCTCCTGGCTTGTTTGCAGTGTTTTCAGTGAAGCCATTACAAATTTCTGATGCCAGGGAAAATTTGTCTGTTTGAATTTGGGCACTTCTCGTTGCTTTCAAGTCAAAATGCAAAAATCTCAGTATTTCTTGAAATCAATGCCATTAAGAATGTATTTTGAGGTAATGTCTACTGGCAACCAAAATTTTATTCCAGATTTGTCTGATTTCTTTGCCATGTATTGTGTACAGTGATACTGTGCTTTTCTGGGAAATTGCTGCTTATCCACAATAATGTTCTCTCCTAGCTTGTTTGCAGTGTTTTCAGTGAAGCCATTACAAATTTCTGATGCCAGGAAAAATTTGTATGTTTGAATTTGGGCACTTCTCGTTGCTTTCAAGTCAAAATGCAAAAATCTCAGTATTTCTTGAAATCAATTCCTTGGAATTGTCTCTGTAAAAAAAAAAAAGAATTCCCCATTGTACAGACCAAAAGCTCTCTAGGTAAGTATTATTGCCACCATAGGCCCCATGAACATATAGCAGTGCAATAATCGCTTACAATTCCTCCAGAGATATTTTCCAGGAACCATAGTTTTGCTCCCTATGCACCTCTGCTTCAGTACATTGTAGGATGTAGCATAGCATTTGCATATCAATAATTGAAAAGCACTGAGAGGACTATCAATGTTGCATTTTGTGTACTGTGTGGAACCTGGAGTTTCTGTCAAAACATTTTGTGCAGCCCATCTTCCTGCAGCCTCAACACCTGGATCCATAATTTCCCAAATTGTTTCATCCTTCCCAATCTCCTACATGTCAGCTCACAGTGATGATGTAGCTGAAGTCATTGTGAGTGGTACTGTACTGGGCAAAGTGGCTGGCACAGCTGGAGCATCTGCAACTTCTGCAGGAGATGACACAGGTAAAGAGGCTGGCACTGCAGAGGATTGTCCAGGACTGCTGCTTCTGCTATGATCTCTTCTTTGCCTGGAAAGCTATTTTCATGGCAGTGGCACTTTAGTGGAATTTTCCTCCCTTTCACTTGCAGGACTTTCTGTTTCACAAAGCCCGGACTCATCAGAATCATTTTGTGACAAAGTTCTGAGCATCTCTATCACTTGTTAATCAGACATTCGTTCTCTTTGAGCCATTTTTGTGTATCTTTCACTTTCTTTATTATATATACTCAAATCAACAGACAAGTAGATGCCACATCTCACAGGAATTCCTAGGATTATAGGTAGACTATGCTAAAATTCATTCATATGAACATACATCTGTTCTTTAACACTTCAAGGGCCAAAACATAATCAAATATTAATGTAATAAAAGAGCTAAGAGCTCAGTTTGGGAAAATATAACAAGTGCTTATACTGAAACTGGAGGCTACTTGCAATACAAAAAAAACCTGAATTTTATGTTGTTATAAATAAAAGTGTGTATTGTAAATAGCAGTCAAATTGATGGGTCTTTGGCAGTTCTAGGTAAAAGTGATTATAACATTTTTAATTTTACTATTCTGCCTTTATCAGGGTATTTAATACAAGGATATAGGAAAAGGCATGAATGGACAACAGTTTATCTTTCATACATGCAAAGATATTTAAATTTAAAAATTTTTAAATGTCAAATTGACAGCCTTGGCAGTTTTTGTGTTAAAAACTTTAATGCCTGTCCAATTCAAGGCAATATCACTAATAAAACATATCACTACTGTTTCACAAATACTTATGAACAAGTTTTTGAACTATTTGAATATCTCAAAATGAAAGAGGTATACAAATTAACACAAATACTGGTGTTAGTTTCTATGTTTCATGATGAGTATGTTCTCAATAAAAAAAACTGTCTGTGAACAGAATCAGCAAAACATTACTTCAAGCATTCTGGTAAAAACATTTTATGAATACATCCACTACATTAAAAGTATATCCTCTTTGTGCTCTTCTGTAAATTGTGACATTTGGATTTAGATTTTCTTTTATATCGAGTTGAGTACATTACATTAAAACAATTTTGGAGCTTCATTACATCATTACAGCCAGTGTCGTTATGTCCAATCATACTCTATCTCATGACCATGCATTTTGACAACAGGCCTGTAGCACAGTTTCCTTTGCAAAAGGCTCCATCATAAAGCTGTCATTTACAAAGTATATTACTGCTCCCTGCATGCTTTCCATTATCCATGTAGTGTAGAAGGACAACAGTTTCCCAGCACCCATTTCAACAGTCTGATCATAAAGAAATTCATAGGCACTGCATCTGGTAACTTGACTGGTTTATCTTTGTATGGAATATTCTCCAGCTACTTGAGGTATACAACAGTTGAACAGTTATATCATTACAGCAACTTCAGCACCTGTGACTTGTGTTGATTTTCCAGATGGAGATCCTTCTTGATTGTGTTGTGTATCACTGCCTGGAACATGTTGATGGCTTTTGCACTGTGTTCATGTATTTTCACCAGTCACAATATGCCACACTTTGCTTACCATGGCCAGGATACACTTTGTTGCAGATCTTTTTCTGGATGGTGCAATAAGTTGATCTATATTCCTTTGTTTTCCAGTGCTATTAAGCATAAAGAATATCCCCCCATCTGATTCCCTAATTTGAACACATCTTTATGATCTGAATGTGTGAATATTCTGCATCAGAAAGGGCTGTTACCTACCCTACCTAAAAGCAATAAATATTTGGTAGTATTACGCTATCTGTAAAACAATAAATAACCACAAAATGTAATTCTGGTACATGTTGTTCCAACACAACTTTATATTGGCTGTGGTTATCATGTGACTTGCCGATTTGTATATTAACGCTTTCACTACTGCCTTGCTTGATTACAATGACCACGTGACCCCAAAGTGATCATCAGTTTCCATATTATAACTTTTAACATGTTTTCTGTATTTTCAGGCAATTTTTCAAGCTTTTAGTAAACATTACAAGTCTTTTATACACACACACAAAAATCAGAATTTATAATTAGGTATTTTTACCAAAAATTTGTCCATAAGTATATGGAATCAGAGTGTTGACTGTTCCAAGTGCAAAGTGATTTTCATTTTAAAACTGAAAATACTTTTTCATCTGAAAATCGTCAAATTTCATTTGCATAATCTCAAAAACCTAGTAAACAGATATCAAATTTTTTTCACTAAAACTTTATATTCTATCTGTTACTTCTCCACCCTAACTCTAAATACATTCAGTTAATTTGACTGAACTCCTAATCACCATAAAAAAAAGTGAAATAAAACAAGCAGTACTGTTCTATACTTTTTAGTTTTGACCACGAAGTACCAAAGTACTTCTGAGAGTTTCAACTTTTAACCTTTTCACATCTATTTTCTATGTTTATTTTACTGTTAGCAGCTGAAGCAAAAACTTGCCAAACATAAAGCAATGAATCACTGCTCCTGCCATTAGACTGTTTACATGACACTATAATACAACACTGTCGATAGCAAACACGTATGTGTGGTGCAATAAGCCAATGATTCACATGGAGCTTATCATAAACTTGAATCTGAGAAAACAGTGGGAGAGGATTTGTCGGCTTGTTTACAGTATAGTGGTTGCAAGGAGACTTGTTTACAGTAATAAAAATGTGAAAATATGTTTATGTATATAGCTCTGTACAAGGTCTGGGCCAATCCAATAAACTTTTTAGGTATTTGCACGTTAGTTATCTTCCCAGTATGGTCGGAATTTAGCAGTATAGGTATACGAAGTGTGTAAGTGGTTTTAAACATGTCTATATATTATTACTACCTACTCATAAATGCTTAATTTTTAGTTATAGAATATAGAACAATAAATAGAAGATATACAGAAAAACAATAATTTCTAGTACTTATAATGTTACAAAATTGACTTGTACTCACATGTTATACTTACTAAGCCTTGCCACATTCCTCGTTTATTCTCTCAAAAGTAGGGGGGAAGACAAATTAATTTTTGTACATTTCAAAGACAAATTTTTGAAAATAAAAAAAAACTATCAAATTATTATACTGGTACACATAAAATCACTGTAACTTACCTGGCTTTCTAACTAAGCTATATTTGGGTTAAAAAATTGCATTTCTGTTCATAGCACCAACTTAATCACCAAACTTCAACATTTTCACTAAAACTCTGGCATTCCCTTCAAGTCAATTGCAAATGACTGTCAGGTTTATGTAGTTTGGAATGTGCTCTTTCTATTGGTTATAAATATGTACTTATGAGAAGAGGTTTCAAAAGAATGTAGTATAACGGGCTATTCTGGTAGGTTTGCTGAATATATTGATATTTCAGCAAATCAAAAAGTTGGGAGGTTCTTTTTTACTATTATAACTTGTCAATGTCTTAAACTTGAATTTCTAATCTGTTAACCACAATAGGCATTGTGCGGTATGCATACTATAATACTGAGGACACTCAACCTCTGTACTAAACGTGATGAAAATCAAATGCTCACTTCTGAGTAATGTTTGATCTTTAGTGTGACCTTGAATTATGGTAATCAAAAGTTAATCAGTTGGTACTTGGTATAACTCAACCTTCGCAATCAAAATTGCATCAATCCTCAATCAAAATCAGATAATAAATTTTAAAGTTGTGTTTTTACCTTCAGTGTGACATTGATCTTTGACCTAGATCCACCAGAAGTTAATTAACTGGTTTTCTGAGGACCTTTGTACCATATTTGATCATTATCAGATGAAAACTTTGAATTATACTGTTCATTCGCACAGAGGTGTGAAAACAATATCCTAACTTAGTTGGGGGTAATAAGTTGTACTTTGTATTATAAGAAAACCTTTCAGAAATAATTTATTATTCCTACCATAACATACAGAGCTTATATTTAGTTATTTATTACAACTGAAAAGGCTAAGAATTGAACAGAAAAACACTACATCAAAATATGATCAATATCTGAATCTTACACCATAATGTTCCAGGTAAGGTATTGAATCTGTGGAGGTTTTTCTTAAAGAGTTAAAGCTCCCTGAACCTGTAAAAAAAACAATAGCATTACTACATTTACAAGCAAAATCCAATATAAGTTCATTAAGTTTAAAAAATTATTAAAAGTTTACACTGCCAAACATTTAAAAATCAAAAACTTTCATAATTCATTATTAAAATATATATATATATAAGAACACTATGGAACGTAAATTAATTCCCAAGCACTGGAATGCAAGTTATACGACCAAAGCATATTTTTCTGTTTAACTAATGTACTAAATAACAACCACTATTAATCATGGGGAAATCTATAGACAGAAAAACATATCTTATCAATACCCTGAGCCATTTTCTAAATTAAGGTCTTTAGAATAAATTAATTTTGACACTTAAAATAAAATTTCAACATTATCATCAACCGTAATGATCTCAACGATCCAACATAAATGTGCATTAACTTTTATCAACTAACTGTGAGTATCCTAACAGGCTAATGATGCACACTTTTTACCATGTATGAGATATAACATGGTTTACTTGGTGTGTATAAGGTACATACACCATAAATAAAGATGTTACTTGACAAATTTTAAATCAAATCTCAAATTTAGAAACTAACATTTGAACTTTATTTATCAAAATATATAATACAGCTTTTATTGCTTTACACACTAGCCTACACCATGAAGCTTTAGCAGCCCTTACATACACAAATTGAAAGCAGTTACAAATGTTGTATAATGGAAATGAAGAAATTATTCTTGACTAAAGGCCATCAGATGTGAAACATATTTTAATTAGGCCTTCATCTTGGTCATACCATAAGTTCCAATTTCCATTTCACTGGTGAATTAATAACAAAATTGGCAGGACATTTAAGCAATACCATTCAGCTTGCAAATTTCAAGTAGAAAACTGAAACTTAGTTGAAGCACTTGAGACACATTAGCTTAGTTAATTAAAGAAGTTGTCTGACAAGCAACCACCAACTTAAACCCAACTTGATCTCAGCTTTCAGTTCTTCAAACAATTTTTGTATAAATGCATATTCTTATACGAATAACATATAATCTTCATGTCACTGTACAGTGTTCCAAATAGTGTCCATTTTGGTCATCATGACAACAATTTTTGTCTTTGGGTGATAATAAATGTTCTTTTAACCCTTCTAATATGGGTGGGTCAATTCTACCCAGCCCATATTCCCAAAAGTAATCATAAAGTAGTTATACTGTAACTTTTTAAAATATGGGTGGGTCAATTCCACCCAGCCCATATTCCCAAAAGTAATCATAAAGTAGCTATACTGTAACTTTTTAAAATGTACATGCATCTTCACAAAATATTGCAGATTATCAGTAAACATTACAAGGCATTTGAACACAAAGTATCAGATTTTTTAATTAATTATCTGCTCATGGATTTTTTACTTTCGAAAGTTGACTCCCCAACATGAGAAGTAAATTTGATTTTAAGATTAAAAATACTTTTATGCATCAGAAAATTTTTAAATCCTCTAGAGAATTATCAAACCCCTTTTTAGAAACAAAATGTATATTTTATCTGTTATTTTCAATATTGTATCTCTGTTCGGGTTTGGTCGATTCAACTAACGTCTTAACAACCATAAAAAACTGGAAATTTACATAAATCTTTTCATTCTAGAATTACTACATACTATAACACAAAAACACAAATGTTTATATATGTATATACATTATTACTATTTCCAAATAAGTTTTTAAATTTCAGCTTTTTCTTAAAACACAGAACGGTATAGAAGTATAGAAAACAATTATATCTTCTAGTTACAAACTTTCTACTCATTTGCTGTAACATGCTAAGCCTTATCAAGTTTTGAAAGCGGAGAACGTAAAACAAAATAATTGTTTTCAATTTTATATATACATTTTGAAATAAAAAATAATAAATTACTTAAATAATAAAGTACCACAGAATTCCACTATAATTTACCAAGCTTATTAACTAAGCTATATTTGGGTGTAAAAAAAATAAGATTTTTTAAGCTCAGTAATGTCTAAATTACCACTTGGAATCTAACATGAAAAGAAAGGGTTTCCCATGTAAATACTTTACAAAGGCTCAGAGAACCACATGGGGACATTCTGGGCTTTCAATGGGTTCTTCACACATCACAGACAGAAGTAGGTGTACGTAAGCAAGTATTTCCAAAAATGGAAAGATGTGGGTGGGTGAGCCACAGTGTTTGATTCACTAAATGTTGCAATATCTCAGCAAATAGAAAAAATAGGAGGTTCTTATTTTATACTCTAGCTTGTCAATATTGGTAATTTGAGTTCCTTATTCATGTCACATAAAAATCGATGTTTAGGTGTGTTTTTGTAATATTTAATTTTAAATTAAGAAATTAACTCATGTATAATACTAAAATTTGAATTATAATGTACAATTGGATACCAAACTTATTGACATACATTCATAAAATAGTAGTTCAATAACATTTTGAATGTAAGTCTACATGGCCTTTGACCAACGACCACAGGAAGACCCGTCTCAGTATGGTTAATCACTTACAGCAATTACTTTGTGATGTTTTTCTTTATTATACTTTTTTAGCACTTTCTCAGCATTTCACAACATTATATTACTTTTTTTTTAAATGCCCCATTAGATCCACATGTAAAACAATATGGTTGTTTAGCACCTAAGATTGTTGCTGTTTGGTTTATATGGAAAATCTAGACCCACAGTCCATTAGAAGAAGTGCAGCACATGATTGCTTGTGAAAATGAGAACTGCAAAACCTTAAAAAAAAATGGCATTTAACTCTCTAAACATGGGCTAAATCAATTTGATAGCTCTGTAACCATGTTAACTTTCCCACGGGAATGATATTCGTACTCTAAATGAAATTGAAATTTAACTGTTCAGAACAAAATGTTATACAATACGTCATTTGATAGATGAAAATCTTGACTTTCTATTGGTTATAGGTAATATATAATGAAATGTATGAGAGAACTATCAAGGAATTGTGAAAGAGAGGATGTGACAGGTGGGTGTGGCAGGAGGGGTCTGATTTTCTATTTGATAGCTCTGTAACCAAACAAAATTGAAGGCTATAAAAATTATGGTTTCTTTGAGCAATAACGATCTTATAGAGAATATTTTACATTTAATTTTGTACTTTTTCGAGGGGTGGTGGGATGATGACATGCTAAGAGAAAATGTGTCACATGGGTCACACAAGATTTTTTTAAATATTGCCTTATAGAATTAAAAACTTAAAACTTGTATACTATTAAAATATGGATTATTAGCTAAGATTTTATGCTATTCTAATTGGTATAACATAAACAAAAAGTATTTTAATAAAATTTTGAATGTAAGAGACTAAAACCTTGTGTCATGTGCAGTAAAGGGTACACGGGGTAATAGAGTTAACAGACAGCAAAAAATACTGCCATTTATTAATATAAATCCAAAAAATAGCCAAAATACAAATTAAACAAATGATTTAGATATTACAAAAGAACAAAATGAAAATTCTAACAGAGAAAAGCCCACAGCTTCAGAGTCTTAATTCCTGAATGTGTAAAATAAAAAGCTTACAGTTCATGGTGCCAACAGTTCAGTTAGTTAGTTCATGAAATGGGGGTAATGTAATTGCAAAGGCACGCAGGTTGCCAGGAAGACTGATTTTATTACAAGTCGCAGCTCTTTTATGAAAGAGTCACTCAGCAAACATTACAGTAGTGCAAGGCATGGCAGTATGTTTTAGGAAAGCAAATTCAGCCTGAAGAAAGGAGAATTCCTAGGTGCTTTTGTGAAACAGAAGCAAAATGTTACAAAACATAAAACGAAAATATGTGCACAAAAATGAACACAGCTAATTTTATTGCAATGGAAGAACTCCCTTTCATAAAGTACTACCCAATAATGGAATAATAACAAAAGAATGGAATCAATATTAGTACCCAATATGCCAATGGTAACAGTCAGTACCATGGTAAACGATTGCAAGGCTTGTTTTAGACTTTGTATTAAATTTCTACGAGTCTTTTTTCTGGTAACCATAAAGAAAAAAAAAACAAGGGCCTGCTGATTCCTAAATTCAAAAGCTTACTTGCAGCACTGCTGTATGTGAAATTCATATCTATGCTTATTTGCAAAATATAAGCATTTGCTAGTGCAGCAATGGTGAATACATTTGTGAAATAAATAATTATTTAAAAAAAATAATATATCAGCGTTTTAAAGATGGAAGAAATACAAGTAATCCTTGAAGAATATGTCCAAACATGTTTATATAAATCTATTTCAAAACTAAAGAATAAATTTGACAAATATCTTACATTCTGTTAAAAAAGTTATCACTGACTGCAACATAAGTATGTGTACATATACAAATATCGTACCAACACTATATATACTACAAGGATATATACAAGGATAAAATAGCCAATTATCTAGGTACTCATATTTGTCTTAGTGGTTTCACGCTTTGAACGTGTAGTCAGACAGCTGTGTTTTCGAAGTTGTCTTGCTTTTATGTTCTCGAGCAAGACACTTTAACCTAATTATTCCACTCCACCTAGCTGTATGATGGGTACTAACTGTTAGCTTGCAATGGATTGGGTGGGAGAGCACCAGTCTCATCTGCTGGTGCCATTTGAAACCAGAGATCGAAAGCACTGGTGCTTTGTATCTTATGAGGCATGACATGGATTTAACTCTTTTTTTTCTTATATTTTTTAACAAAATTTATAGGTACCTGCTGTCAATGTTCCACTGAACACATGAACTTTTTTGTCATTCATCTGTTTTTTCCCTTTCTTTTCAAACTTTCCTCCTTGATATCCTTGTTCACGGGGACCATCCCTACAATAAAAATTTCAATATGTGTTGAACTTGATGTTAAAGCTTTACTGAAAATCTTTAGACTATCTTATCTATTATAGCTTATAACAAAAAACATATAAAAAACTGATTATAAATTATAAAAAAGCAAAAATAAGTAATTGTAATAGATCACATTCTTAAATAGAATGAACAGAATCTGAAAAAATCCTCTTATCTGATTCACTGACAGGGAAAGTTTATGTTACTTGAACGAAGCCATGCATTCAAACTAAAAACTCTGGAAAATAAGTTTGGAAAAATTTACATTTTAACTAAGAGATAGCAAGCACATTTCACCATTCTGTACTACAACATATGAAAACTATAACCAATTCAAATGAAGGGGTATGTTTTAAAGCAGGTGAAATAATTATCTATAAGAATTCTAATTAAATACAAATTTTTTTTAATATGTAGAAAAACAAAAGCTTTATTCAATAGATATAAATAGCCATAGATGCAGCGTCTTCTACAGACTTGGTGCCTGGCCCTATTTTAGCTTAACGTGTTTATAACTGTATCTGGCATTAAAACCACCAAAGTCATGACTACACTGTATTGTTTATAAATAACACTAAACATTATTCCACCTTGGTGACTTAAAAAGACTTCGTATTTGAAAGCCTTGGAACAAATGTAAGTGTATACAGTGTTACAGAAGTGAAATCAACACTAAACTTGTAATTACTTCAGTAGAAAAACATACTTTACAAAGAATAATAAATCTTAAGTGTAAGAAATGAAAAAATGCTTCACACAACAATTAGTCTAAATGCCCATTTTCCTAATAAACGTGTTGCAATATGAAAAAGGAGGACAATCATGTTGCTGGATAACATTATATTTATAACTATTAGTTATGTACTTCCAAATAATTGATTTTTGTTTTTAAACTTTGATTTTAATACAAACACTATCTGCACATACTTAGTCACCTGGTGTGTAATAAAGAACCCTCAGCAAGCAGGGTTTCTTAGCTAATTGATCTTTAATGTCTCTTCCTCCCCAACAGTTTGACATAAAAGTTATAGCACCATTTAGATTGCATGAAATTAGAACTATCACTGTATTATGTTTTTGATAGTTAAAATAAACTTTGGATCTTTTCAACAATGTTTTTGTTGGTAAATAAAAATTCCAAAACAGTTCATTATCCCAAAATGGAACAGATCTCACCTCCTAAGAACATAAGACAATTTTGAATAAATCTAGTCAGTCCATCTCCAAAACATTTTCTGCGTTGCTAAATAGTAATTTAACATGAAACATTATCTTGCATTGCTATAAAATAATATTAGAAGGTAAAGCATGTTGTCAGAAAGAGTCATTTCCAAAGAAATCTACATCAACAACTATGGTTCAGAATGGGAACTAGTGTTTTTGGGTTCCCTAACAAAGGTATGCCATTTTGTTTACTTATTGTTCCTTTCCTTAACAACACTGGTATGTTACTTGCTATACTGAATACAATTACATTTACTTTATTTTAATTTGTCATTCATTACTAAACTTCTATTACAAAGCTTTAATAGCATTGTTAGCCAAGAATTTGTATTTAAAACTAACCTAAATTTCCTATGATGGCTGAAAAATCACAGCTGAAAAATAATTAAATGCGAGTGTACCCAACTGATGAAACATTGCACTCTAATCTTTATAAGATACATAAGAAAAGTATATCTAATTACCTACACTGATGGCCAGGCTCATTCTAGTTTCACTCAAAATACATAGCTTACTCTAATCAGAAGTTATAATTATACAGAATGATTTTTTCCTTTAGTATAATGATTGTGAAAAAAAGGGCATTTCTTGAAGCATCCATTATCTCCCACCCCTATTTCTGAAGAAGGGAAAATACAACTAAGTTTCTAACTGTCTTGATAGAGCAGCTATGATGATATTAATTTCATAAGAAGTGTATGATTTTGTTTACCTGGAAAAAGACTTGCAATCCTTTTCATATGGATTCCAGTGGTATGTTGTTAGCTTACCTTTTAGAACTTCTTCTAACTATTAGAGGGTTTCCATCCAAAAGTATTCCATTTCTTTCTTCTACAGCTCGTTCTGCATCAGGTTCACAGAGAAACTGGACAAATCTGAAAGTCAAAGAATATCACTATATCTATTCCTGAAGTTAACAATACAATTCAAGAACTTCTTTCTGGTATTAGTGTATTTTTGTCAATTTTGGAAAAAAAATCAGCAGATATAAAGTAATTTTGAAATATTATTTTAACGTGGACATTACAGATACAGTAAACTAATGTTGATGTTTTTTAATAAATTAATCTCATAATTTTTTACCATGCCAACATTTTTTTCCTGTCATTACTCCTGATGATTCTAATGATATTCTTGAATCTTAAATTATTTTTATTGAAATGTTATTATCTAAAGGTGTACACTATTCAAAATTCTATTATCTTTAACCTACTTATAAAACTTTTAGCTTTTAGTGATAATCATTTTATTTTTATTAGAATGCCTGACACAAGTCAAACTTAACTAACCTTCCATTTTGTCTGTTACTAACCAACTTTATGAATGTACAATCAAATTGACAGAGTGCATCATCCAACACCTGACAGCATCTGGAATTGTGCATCAGGTCCATGGTAAGATACGTGTCAAATGCCATGGATCATCAGAAAAGGGCAGTGATTCCTGTCAGGGTTTACTCATATTAGTCCATGAGTGTACAGTCTAGGAAAAACTTATTTATGAAGCAAAAGACTGTGAGGTATTCCCTATAAGCAGTCCTGCAAAACACTCCATCTCAATGGTGCACATAATATGATCTGGTGCTGTGTTTTGTATTTTGAAAGTATAGAGAACAAATGCATGGACTCAATCAACCAACACCTGATGGGATCTGAAATTGTACATCAGGTCTGTGGTAGGAAGAGTTTCAACGTCACAGTCATCTAGCATGGTATATGATCACAGGTCTTACAGTACAGATTTAAGACTACGTATACTTGGTCAGGCACCACTCACCACAGAGTGAGATCCAAACATGCAAGAAATGCCCCTGCAAAGCAAATGAATGGAGTACTTACTGCCCACATAGAAACAGGGGAGCACAAAATGTTGACTGAAGGAAGATAATAGATTTTCTATTGGAACAAGCAACAGACAGTTAGTGAAGATAATAAGCAGTAAAGGTATGGGGAGTGGTCCCCAAACTGGCATCAAAGAAGTCCTCCAATGGAAGAAGGAAACAAGCAGCCAGGAACAGGACGAGGTGATAAATACAAAGGGAAATGTGCAGAAGAGAGAAAATCAATAAGGAGAAAGGAAAAATAAGCCAGGCAAATCTACTGCTAAGTCCTACCATAATGGTAATTGGATAATGGCCCCAGGACTGGGAAGAATTCTAAGGAATAAACAATGGAAAAAGTCCCCATGGAAAGAATCAGTGCATCCCCTGACCAAGCAGAGATAAATGATTCACCACATGATACAGGGCACCCAGAATATGACAAGCCAGGAAACAGAAATCCAAGGAGAAGGGAAATTCAAAAAAGGACCAGACCAAATATGATAACCACAGCACTCAAGGATCTGTGAGAAATACTTTCCAATCTTGGGCATAGCAGTTGAAAACATTGTTGTACCACGTCTGATGGAGTAAGAGTGCGTATATTGTAGAGCAAAGCAAAATTGGGCCAATTGTTACTTCAACCATATGGAATCAAACCCCGAACACTAGTGTTGGAAGTCCATGTACACTGGAGTCAAGGTATACATACTCTTGAATTTAAGTGGCCCCCAAAACTACACTCGGGACCCCAATAACCCAAGGGGTTCAGGGAACACTAAAACTGACCCTAAAGCTCGTTACAGAAACAGGAGGTAATGTAAAATATATCTTAGCTGATTTAATAAGTCCACCAAAGAGAAAGGAAGCAAGGACACCCCCCGAAAAACAACATGTGACTGGGAGGAATCATAGGCAGGAGGAGGAACTAAGCAGCTCAAATACTCATTGTCATGCACAAAGCAGTACAAAGTATACGATTACAGAAGTGGCAGATAAATCAGCTGTAGTAGTTACAGCCAAAGAGGTTGAAGTCATGTGGAATTGTACATATATGACGAGATGAGTTGACAAGAAAAAAAAGTGTAACCCCAACAAAAATTCTCAAAACTGCACAAATTCAAAGAATTTACAGTAGAGAGAAAAAAAGATATACAGCCATAAAACGAAACTATAAACTTGGCAATTAAGCAAAAAAATCTGTCTGAAAACACATATGAACTGTAAGACTGCCAATTGAGAAGTGGTAATCATTTGCAAGATTAGATAGGGCACTAGTTACAATGGGGTAGTGTTGCACTACTATTGTTGGAGGGTTGCTGAATAATCATTTGCATAAAGAACAGTCTCCATTACTAAAGAGTTAGATAGATTTGAAGTTGTTCCATGATCGACTAACTCAGGTGAAATTGTATACAAGACTAATGTTGTTGAGATTATGTCTAGACTGGATAAATCTTGTTACTTACTTAACATGTTAACTTCAGACTGAATCAAGAGCAACTACAATTACTAATGTGACTAGTAATTTCCAATGAAACATAAGAGGTCATAACCTCAAGAGAACACCTGACTGCCAGTATAAAAAATACCTATAATATTTTGCATACTCTGAGTGGCCTTGCAGCTATCTTTCTCATGTGAAGACAACAAGTGGTACTCTAGATTAATAATACAGAACATTAGATAACCTGAACAAGTTGAACTTAATGACCTTCTTGACCAATATGTTATGTGAAAACACAAATGTTGAAAAATTCTGTAGCAGATAGCCTAGTTGCTTTGCGCCAATAAACTGCAAACAGCCAACCAACCTTGAAAAATTCTTATAGCCATACAAGGAGATAGAAAATACATGGCATACTTGTATACTACACAAGTATCATGTTACCAGCAGGACTACATGCAAAACCAAATGTGTAATTAGATTAAAAAAAACAGCATTCACTTTTATTTCTCATGAGATTAATTTTTCATTGAAATATTGTTTACTATAGGTGGTTATCTAGGTAGGTAAAACAGAAGTGAAAGAAAGAATAATTCATTTACATCATTACGATTGTACTTAATGTCAGTAAATTGAAAATACATTCCAAAAATTATGCTGCACTAATGTTATTGAAAAAATGCTACAAATGTACTTTGACTGCAAAACGTGTACATGTTCAGCTTAAAGTTTCACAACTTATAAATAAAAGTACATAAATTTTTGAGTCAAAAATCTGTCTGTCAGTATGCTAATACATATACACACTATTTTTTGAAAAATAAAAAATAAAACTTGTTACAGATACAATCACATATTATTAATATTAGACATATTTTGAACTCTTGAGAAAAATCAATGTTTAACATGTATCAAAATTTACAAAATTACAACTTACGCAATTTTGGAACCATCTCCAATTTTTCCCTCTTTTACATAAATTCCATTTATTTCTCCAAAGCAGGTAAAAAACTTCCCAACAAAATGCTGAAAATATAACACAAAAATGTAAGTGCAAGTTAGCTTGTAACATAAAATTCCACATTTCATAAAGACATTTTTTAATTAATTTCTGACACCCACATAACCATATTTTATAAAACATTTTCTCTAATGCATAGCAATTCTGCCTCTTCATGCATGTACAAAATAATGGACATTACTTCACCACAAACACAACACAAGAGAGATAGCACACACAAGCATAATTTACAACATTTTTCCAATAAAAGTAATTTTTGGCAAATGCAAATACTTATTGTTTGATTTAGATAACAGTGTTTCTTTTATTTACAATGAGTTGTCTTCTTTAATTGTTGGTAGGCAAAGTGATGATATGAACTTATGGTAACAAGATCATAGACACCGAGTCTTTGCACAATAATGATACACTTTTATGAATACAAACTGTGCAACTAAAAGTGTAGCAGTATGCTGAAATATAACAGTCAAGGCACCTAATGAAATTATTAATTTACCTTCTGTTATGTATCCAAGAACACAGAAACATGGATGAACTATCTTGTCACATAGTGAGATCTTGTCCATTTGTGGAATTCCTGATCCTGAACACCGTGTGGAAGTTGAAAATACCATATTCATTTCTATCATAGCAAAGACAAGCCATTAAGTGGGATATTTCACCAATGGTTGTTGGATGCTAAGATTAACACTTTAGGAGCTCCAGGATAAGCAATCCCAGTCCAATGGTTCTTCTGACCACACTTAAGTTCAAAGATGTTCAGCACTGGTGTGAATACTGTATGGTATGTTCTGCCAAGGGAAAGAACCAACTAAGACACGGGAAACTTTTGGGTCTCTTCTGCAATGGATAGCCCTGGATATTGTTGGTCCTTTCCCAGACCTTAAGAGGTCATCAGTACATACCTGTCATTATTGACTGTTTCATGATATGGGTTGAGGCTTATTCACTGGTCAATACACTATTAAAGTCCATCACAGATGTGGTGGCAAAGAACTGGATAGCAAAGTTGGGAGAATAGGAAGAATCCACATGGATCAGGAAATTAATTTTCACAATTAACTATTAGCTCAGCTGCTTAAAGTGTTAGGTTTGGAAGAATGGATAATACAGACTACTAAGCACATGCTTGCTAAGTTTGTTAATCTTGATAGAACCAACTGGGATGAACATTTGTCATGTGTGATGATAGTGTATAGAGCACTGGAACAAGAATTTACTGACTATTTGCCAAATATGCTTATCTTTGAGTGGTAAATACTTCTCCCCTACAAGAAGACATCCTATAATGTCCTCAGGAATAAATGGAGTAGTTAAGGTCAATGATAATTGATGTTTATAAGTTTGCCTGACAAACAGCTAGGAAAAGCCACTTGATGACAGAAGATATGCTAGTGTGTAGATTGGGTATGGTTGTAGAATGTGCTGGCAGCACTGAGGCAACTTGTATCTGGCAGAACTGGTCTGTACTGTACCTGATACTCTGACAAGTTGGTCCATTAAAGTGTTGATCAACAATGTTTAGGAAAGGGCTTAGCCACATTTGTTTTCCAAACTTTTGGGCAGAGTCTGAATATGCGAGGTATCTGCCAGATATTGTATGATAGCTGTTTCATCAATTATAATTAGGACAGTTGTTTATCCAAAAAGTCAACAGCTGAAAGAGCTTCGCGGCCCTTACTTTCCAACTTACTGAACTGAGTTTGAGAAAATTTATGAACAAGATATTCAAGTGATCACCACTCGAATATCACTAGTTAGGACAATTATTTGGTTGAGAAACCAATGACTGAAAGGGCTTTAACACCCTTACTTTCTAATCTATCTAGTGGTGGTAAGATAAATATATGAACCACATTTGATTGAAAAATCAGCAACTGAAAGAATGTTATGATCCTAGCTTTCCAAAGCATCCAACTAGTAATGTGAAATACTATGTATGTTTCTCTTTACTTGGGAAGTTTTTTCATTCTAGTTGCCTTTGTTCTCTATAGCAGGTAATATTTACTCTGTCCAAGGAGATATTGTAGTGATGTCTGACATCCATGTTGAAAATGTCAACAACTGTAATATTCTTCACTAGATGAGTAGGTGATGTTTTTATGTTACAACCAATGAGTTATGTGAGAGTATCACCAGTCACATGGAGACACTACCATAACAGAATGGATACAAAATTTCTTGAAAGTTCAAAACCTCTATACTTTCAGAGTTCTACTTGGTTATTCACCTAAATAGTTCAAAGGAAATCCATTTTTAGAGAAAAATGCTGTTGATCAATTCACAGGTCAAGTAAAGATGATCGTCTCTTCGGCTATTCAAGTAAGCAAATTTTTTTGTCATCTTAATAAAGATTATTTTCACATTCCATCAAGGTGTCAAGTCTACTTACTTCTCAAACAGTATAAAAATTAATCAAGTTTTCAAACCCAGATTACTCTGTACACTTCCTGTTCAATACTCCTGTCATTAAGCAGACCTATCTAATATATACAAGGAAATAACCTGAAAATACACCACCTATTTACCGTCCCACTGACATGTGAGTCATCTGTTACAATGGCTTCTAATTTTAGAACAACTAAGTAACTCCACCTAGTGAAATTACATTATCTTGGCACAAAACTATAAAGGCCAGTAGTATAAACCCTCAAGTGAAATTTACAACCCTGATGCTGGATACACATGCATGTGGGTTTTAAATTCTTTAGCATTTAAACTTTAACCAACAACTGAATATGTCAGACTAATTGTATGAAGACAACTGAAATAATGTTATGAAAAAAAAAAAACTGAAATACATTAATCATAAAATGATAGCAAAACAATTTTGAGACAACTAAGAACAACTGTTGTTTTATTGCTTCCTATTGTGTAGTTGTTGTCATAAGGTATAATTGCCAGATGCCAAATTTATAAAAGGACACACAAGTAGTAAAAAGTGTAAACACAACATTATGAATAGACCAATCTTTTCTTGACTAGCACTGCCTCCTTCTATTGGCACAAATTTTCCAGGCACGTCACTAGCTTTCCACCTCCCATTTCTGCATATTCTCATGCAGCAGCTATCCACCAATAGAAGCATGACACCACTCCTACTGTAGCCAGTGCCCTCTTCACATCTGCATTTATTAATCACTTCGAGATTGGTCAGAAAACCTACACCATATATCATCTGAAGTGGGGAGGCTGGGTGAGAAATGTGCAAGTGGTAAAAACTCTCATACTCCAGGGGGAAAAATGCATTGGAGAGTCTGAAGAACTACATCACTGGAGACAGTGCAACGAGTGACCATGAAATCCTATTTTAAAAAGCATAACTGTTACGTCGATGAAGTCAATCAACCAAAACCAGACGACATCTGGAATTGTACATCAGTTCCATGGTAGGAAGAGACTCAGTGCTAAAGCTGCAGAGACGAGCAGCAATCTTTGCCTGTTTTACTCATGTTAGTCCATGAGAGTATCATCCGAGATGAACATATTTATAGAGCAAAATATTGCTAGAAAGAACTACTAGCAGTCCTACAGAACACCCCATCTCTATGGCATGCATAACCCAAACCTGTGATGAAATTATTTGATTATAGATAGCAAAAAATACAGATACACACAACCAACATCTGGTTGCATCTGGAATTTTACATTAGGTTCGCAGTACGAAGGGCTACAATGAAATGGACAACTAGTATGGTCGCAGTATGGACAGTGCAGATTTTCCCCCCCAAAAAAGTATACCTGGTCAGGCACCACTTGCCACAGAGTGGGATCCACAATTCAAAAAGAAAAAAGGACACTGGAAAGTGAGAAAATTTTAAAAACAACAAACAAAAAACATGGCATAATACCAAAATGCAAAAATAGAAATAAATAGTAAAGAAAAACAAAGTCAGTAGTATAACTGAAAACATCGACAGATCCGCAAATAAAAACTAGCACATCTGTACAGTACTACTAACAATTGAGAAGTGATTAATGAGTGCAGATGTGAAGATAGTGCTGCAAATGATAGGAGTAGTTTCGTGCTCCTGTTGGTGGAGAGCTGCTGCATGATCAGTAGCATGTGAATATGCAGAAGCAAGAAGTGGAAGGCTAGTGACATGCATTGAAAATTTGTGCTGATGGAAGGCAGTGTTAGTCAAGAAAAGCTATTTTGTGAGGAGGTAAATATCAGAATTAATATTTGATAATTATTTACAATTAAGAGAAATTAACATTCCCCATTAGATATTACAATCACTCTATTATTAATTAGCTTTCTCAACATGAGCTCAGTCAATTTGAATGACCATGTGACCTCTATGTATTCATTCAAAGTCTTTATAGATTTGATACTACAAACGTTTAATATAGTGTGTATATTTTCATAAAATTTGGCAGTCTTTCAGTAAACATCATACATCTTTCACATTCAAAAAAAATAATATTTTTTAGTGAAATATTTTTAATAAACTAAAAAAATATTTGTCCTTGAATATAGAGTAGTTGTTTTGAATAGTCCATGTGCAAAATTATTTTCATACTAAGATTATAAATACTTTTATTCATCTCAAAAATCTCAAATTTCATTTGCATAATCTCTGAAACCTCCTAAATACATTTCAAATGTTTGTTTTCAGTAAAACTTTATATTTTATCTGTTATTTTCTTTACCCTAACTCTATACATAGTTGGTCCATTTGACTGACCTCGAAACCACCAAAAAATGAAAATAAATCTAAATTACCCCATGTGTAACTACTATTCATGCCATTAGAAGTTGTAAACCATTTGGGGAATGTACAGCTCATGTTACACTATCAAACTACCTTAACCACGAGCTACACGCATGCGTGCCTCGTGAAATATTTTTTTTATATTATGATTTAGTTTACTTAATCTAACCTTAACTAACCTAAAGAATTCCCTATTTTTACATTTTAGTTACTTTTATAATAATAAATAAAGAATAAACATGAAAAACAAGAAATAAAGTACTTACCAAAGTATTCTTTTGTTTTTT